ATGAGAAAAAACAAAAATGTGACATTTCATAACAGTCACATGCTCCTTGGTGTTTGCACGAAAAAGGGGGGAGAAAAAAAAAAGGAAGAAAGAAAGAAAACAGTGCCATCGTAAACAAATCTCCAGTCATCTGGCCATGCCGAAGCCTCTATCACAAAGTCGGATGGCTTAGAACAAAGAAAACCAAAAAAAAGAAAAAAAAAAGTCAAATCAGGGTTTAATCACCGGCATGATCCCGTCAGAGGTGCTGTGAAACCAGTGATTACTGAACAACGTGTGTTTAGGGATCATACCCTGCCGTGCACGGACGGCCTCGAACCGGCACCCTCCGTCACAGGAACGAAGTATCGTAACCACTACATGACTTGGAGTTGTTAAAAAAACTGGATCCATACCGGTCGTGATATCCAGCCCACCTCCAGGGCTGCAGCCTCCTTGAATTCAACACCACACACCCAACGCACACCGCAGTGACAGGCTTCGTTGTTGTTTTTTTTTTCATAAGCCCTTGTGTAAGCCCTCTATCAGTGTTAAACCACCAGTACATCTTGAGAATGGTGGATGAGCCTTCTCCGAAAAGTGCAAGGACTCGGGACAGGGCCCGCCTGGGGGTAGGCAGAATTTGTTTTTTGTTTTTTGTTTTGTGTCGAGCCTGGTCCCACGCCAAGGGATGGGACACACTTTTTATTCCAAGCTGGCTGCGGGTCAGCCCTGTACCAAGCCTCCGAAATTTCCAGAGAGAGGGGGGTGGTTTAAGGGGGTTAAACCACCAGTACTTGGGCGACGCCTTAGCGTTAACGCTACGCGATTTCCAAGATTTGGGCGGCCGGCGCGGCGCGCAGTGCCCAAGTACTGGTGGTTTAAGAAAGGACTCAAAACAGTGGCATGGTTTAATTCGGTAACATGGCCAAAACAGGGATGTGGTTTATGGCAGGTCTCTTCTGTTAAACCACCAGTACCTACCGGTCCTTAAGGCCCGTGGCTCAGGCTAGCGGTAGCCCAGTCATTCCCGAGCCTCAGACAACCAGTAGGACGCAACGAAAAAAGAAAAAATAGAAAAAAAAAAACAAAAAAAACATACAACATTCTGCAAAAAAAGAAAACAAAAAGAAAAAGAAATCAGACCTACGAGAATGGATCTTCCTCGATAAAGAGGAAGATTCATTCTCGTGAGAGAGAGAGAGAGAGAGGGCATCAGTGTGATCCCTTCTCTCTCTCTCTCTCTCTCTCTCTCTCTCTCTCTCTCTCTCTCTCTCTCTCTCTCTCTCTGCACCAAACTCGGCATTAGACACTGGCTGACGCCCTCTCTCTCTATCTCTCTATCTCTCTCGTTCTTCCCCCCCTTCCCCCGCCCCGCCGCGCCTGTTTCTTTTAGTTTGTTACTTCTCATTTTCATCGCCGTCTTTTTTTTTTTTTTTTTTTTTTTTTTTTTTTGGGGGGGGGGGGGGTTTTTTGGGGACTACCGGTCGCATGTCGGTGGATACCCCGCGCGACGCGGCGCGTTAACGGCCACGTCGAATTCTTCAAGCAGGGAGAGGTACTGGTGGTTTAAAGCACTAGTACCTTTGTCCGTTTGGAAAATAGCGGGCCTCCGACCTTTCAGGGGGCCAAAACAAAACGAAACGACGGAGAGCTATGTGTGTAAACTACCATCTTCAGCCCTGGCAACTTTTGGGGCTTGGCCTGGAGCTAGATGGCTATTGCCGCCAGCCCAAAGGCGGCCTGCCTGCACCTGTTCATTTCGTTTCTGGCGTGCAGGGCGTTTCAAGCCTTGGAGAAACGTGCCTTGGAAATACTTACACCCCGGCCACAGGAAGTGCCTTACTTCGTTCGCACCACGCTGTCCCAAACCACCTGCAGCACACGTTTTCCCTGTTTTGGCTCCCACCATGACCCCTTGTGGTTCCCAGTAGGGCGAGCCATTGCCACAGTGCGGTGACGGCGAGTTGCTTTTTCTGCAAGGCCAAGGCCATGCACTGGCGGTTCAAACTCTGCAAGGCCAAGGCCATGCACCTGGGCAAACTTGGGACTTAAAATTGTACCAGTCGGTCCACTCCCGGGTTCTTCAGATAAACAGTGCTACCAGGCCAAAATGGCAGGAAAAAAAAAAAAAAAAAAGGGCTGGCAGTGCCTGCCAAAAAACAAAAGGATGTGTGCCACTGGCAGATCCTTTTTTTATTGGTGTCCAGTGGACATCCACGTGAGGAAGAAGAGGATCGGAGGGACTGGTGGTTTATCTTGCCCAGGCAAACTTGGGCAACGAAAAGGGGACATTTCTACCAGACCTAAATGGTTGGCGGCGTTAGCCAAAAAAAAAGAAATGTATTCACGGTGGCTAATTTGTCTTCGATGCACGGGTATTCTGCCGAGGCGAAAAGAGGCCCGTAAATACTGAAGCACCACTACATGTCCCAGCCATTTTTTGGCGGCGGCGATTTTCCGAGGTCAGTCCGCCATAGGCAACGGAACAAAATGTCTGGTGGCACCAGCCAAAAGAAAGCCTGCGCCGGTTCCATCCCTTGTTTCGTGTGCACTGCATTTCAAGGCTACCGGTAGGCAAGGGAAGATGGTCGAGAACTCAAAATGTGGTTAAAGGAGAGACTTCTTCTGCGAGATGAAATCGGGAGATTTTTTCGAGGTCATCTTCATGGCATCCACAAATTCCGGTTTCCCATTGGTTAAAACCACCAATACGTTTCACAGCGATTTGTCAGAGTCACAGCGTGCATGCTGCCGCGAATCTTGAGGAAGTACTGGGGCGACGTCCATCCATGAAAAATGGGCCTCAGTACACCCAAGAACTCTTGAGAGATACAGAACGGAGTTCGAATCCCAATCCAATCGTATGAACAGGACGACCATGAATGGTTTGGTACGGCGGGAGAGTGAAGAGGGGTTGTGACGAGGGGGAGTGTGGAAGGGCGGAGTATGGAGGGGGAGTGACGAGGGGGAGTGTGGGAGGGGAGTGAAGAGGGGGAGTGTGGAGGGGGGAAGAATGGAGGGGGGGAGTATGGAGGGAAAGTGTGGAGGTAGAAATGACCAGGCCCCATTGCAGCTATGTTGTTTACGCCAGCAGAGAACGATACCAGTTCAGTTTGCCTGCTAACTACCCTACAACAGTTAAAACCTACAAGAACAGTACCTCAAATGCCGATCATCAAGCTATAGACTTCCTATTGAATCTATAATATAGCTTGATCATTGGAACAACCTTTCTTCCGCTATATTCTGGATTTCAAATTGCACATTGATTCCAATGTAATTCTTGACCTCACACAGTTGTTGAATCATGCGGAAGAAAGGTTGTTTTGAATCAGGACATGCTCACATTATGTTGGGCTCAAGCGGATTTGAACCCCAGTCAGATTCGAAGCTGGAACCTCCGAGTGAGCATACTGTTAGCTGATCTTGGGACACAAAGGACCCTATAAAAGGGGACCGAGACCTCTAAAACTCTCTATGCCAGAGCCCAAGTAGGACCCCGTAGGCCCAGGGCACAACTGGCATTGCAAAAACTGACCAGCTAGGACTACCGTTCATTCATTTTTCAGTTCGTGATTTTCGTGGAGTGAAGAGGAGCAGCAGCAGCAGCAGCGCCCGTCTTGGCAGCGGAAGTAGAGGGTTTGGGAACTTTGGGTGTGCAGCAGCCATAGCCAGTGTGTTCTGGCTCTATAGAGTTTATTTACTGCACGGTTTTGAGTGCCGTTTGTTGCACTCTGATCAGTGCAACCTGGCCGTCGAGTGCACATCATCTTTTTTTTTTTTTTTTTTTTTTTTTGTCCCCATCTTGTGTGCTGGTGTGATAAGCAATATGAGCTTGTCGCAATGCTTTTCTCCAAGCGCCATCTTGAAGACTCACTTCAGTTTCATTTGAGTGCTGCTGCGAATGGAAAGAAGTTGGAAGTTTTGGAAATTCCTAACACGTTACTACTTTCTTGAATGTATCTCACCGCAACTATGGCTGAACCTGAATGAATCTGACAGCAAATCATCCAGAGTATAGTAAAAAAACTTTAAAAAGTCCTCGTGTGAGTATGCCCTCAATCTTTCGATAGCAATTGTCGACCACCAGTGTCCCAGAAGGAAATCTTTTTTTTTTTTTTTTTTTTAATTTTAAACAGTCCAACTGCTGGGGAGAGTGATACAGAAGGAAATCATTTCTTTCACCGTACAGGAAGTGATCGCGGCAGTCGGATTCTGCCACAAAAACACCCTCTTTTACCGTACAAATTTACAAAAAAAAAAAAAAAAAAAAAAAAAAAAGAATGTTATTTTTTCAAGTTTTCTGAAGTTTTTTCTTTTTTTTAACTATGCAGAATATTAGCAGCAGCTAAATCGATGTCTTGGTTTCTTTCAGACCACTTCGTGGAGAGCTATATGCGTGAGCTACCATCTTCAACCCTGGCAGAATGCCCCGTCATCTTATTGCTGTATATGGACTGAAAGCTGCAGCAGATACAGATATGATGATTGGGAGTGTCCTACTTGGGTGTGGATAGTAGCCACATCACGCTTTCCTTGCACCAACCCTTTTCTCGGATATGTGAAGCACCTTTGCTTCACAGGGATTGTCACACCCTTTTCTCGGATTGTCACACATGCTTGCAACGTTGCATCGAACAATGGACAATAACGGACAGGCAAAGAACACAGGCGAATATAGGAGCCAAACGGACATAAAACCGTGAGCGTTTCCACGCAAGTACAGCTGACTCAAGGCTGAGCTTTTTCTGTTTTCACCAAACTCACCGGACTCCCCAGCTGACTCAAGGCTGAGCTTTTTCTGTTTTCTTTTTCTGTTTTCTTTTTCTGTTTACTTTTTCTGTTTTCTTTTTCTGTTTATTTTTTCTGTTTTCTTTTTTCTTTTTTCTTTTTCTGTTTTCTTTTTCTGTTTTCTTTTTCGGTTTTCTTTTTCGGTTTTCTTTTTAGACTTCAGGCTGAGCTGGTTACCGATCAAAAAAGGAAACGATCGTTGAAACAAACAAACACTTTCATTTTCAAGCTTGCCTGTGTCTTTGTTACATGCAAAACTCCTTGCCCTGCAGTACTTGGACGCAAAGCGATGCCCAAATACATCCTTCAACATTCCGAAGGAAGAGAAATAGTTGTCGGTGATCTCTCTCTACCTGGATGGCTGCTAAATGGCGCAAACTACGCACACCTAACAGGCCCTCCACTCATTACACCGGGACGGGTGAGCTGGTGAATGCAGCGACTGCTAGCTAAGACCAAAATTATCCGAGGCAGAACCAAACATGTAAACATCAAAGTCCACGTCAAAGGTTTCATCAGAATCCGGCCAACACGCCACCACTTTTCAACACCGACTTCGACTATCAAAATCCAGATGTTCCCCTCACTAGCAAGATCAACAGCCCAAAACACATCCTTGGTGTTGCATGACAACCACGCTGGAGCAAAAAGGGAAAATCGGCAGGTAATCTCTCTCTCTCTCTCTCTCTCTCTCTCTCTCTCTCTCTCTCTCTCTCTCTCTCTCTCTCTCTCTCTCTCTCTCCCCCCCCCTCCCCCCCCCCTCCCCCTCCACAATCTGGTGCCATCGCTCTGTGCTCATCCAAACAGCTTGAGATCAACAGATTCAGCACAGCATTTGCTGGCACGGCTCTCCCTCAATGGAGCCAAATTTCTTTCTTATACCTCTAAAAACACAAAACCACCTCGCAATGCAATACCCTCAACACACAGGGTGCTTGTGGCCACAGCCTGGAGTCCATAGGGTACCCACGACCGAGCTCAAAAGAGACGCATGTCAGAGATTGGCTATCATACCCAGGGCTAGTAGCCTCCAAGTCCCTATCCTTGCAAGTTGGACACTCACTCAGCTTTCTCTTGCCTCCCAATCCAACTCATTATTTGCATGCCAGACGAGCTCACAATGCAAGAGACACGAACCTACCGTTAAGGTTTCCCATGGCAGTCACCAGGGCCCTTCCCTGAAAACCAAGGAGTTGCCCCCATTACCTGAAAGCCTGAGGGAACAGGCCCTTAAGGGCGCATAAGGGTGCATAAGGGCCATAACTAATCTAGCATTCAAAACAGTACGAGCTTAAACCACCCGTACAACAGACCCTAAATTGGCAAACCTAACCGTTTCCGCACCCGAACAAATCGAACTGGTCACTTCCGCTCCGGTACATCGAAAGTTTCGGCTGAGAGGGCTCGTATCAGTCGTTTTAACTTAATAAAGGAGTCTGTTTGCCTCAACGAAGAATATCTACCTCAAATTGAGCGAACCCAGTGGCTTCCTGCAAAACTGTGGCAATCTCCTCAGGTCCAAGGCACTTAGCGCATCCAGAAAGATGCCCGAAGAGGACGACAATTTCCCAGTCCCGGTATGTGACCCGGCGCAGATGCCGATAGGCAAGCAGCGACAAAAAGGAAAAACAAGCCTCAACTTAATACAAGAAGAAGACCTGCACCTCGCCGACTCTGGCAAACTTGAGAGACCTGTGAACTCATGCAAGAAATGTTGCGAAAGGGTACCGGATGCAACTAATGCCGCCGCCACCCTATGAAGATGGAGGCCCGTCCACCTGCATAAGACATCAAAGCAAAGTAGTCGAAGAACGGCGCACACTTCCGTCAGTATAAAATCGGTTACTCACTGCTCCTTTTGTTTGATGAGAGAGGTCGCCACTTGTGCAAGAGGATGAGATGGTTATCCGACGCTGAGTGCTGAGTGAGGTCTCGAAGAGAACAATCAATATGACCACCATTCCAATCCAATGCTCTCTTCTGCATGACGAGCTCTACTGAGTATGGCCTCACGGAATAACCTGTGCGTAACTCGATACTACATCAACACTGGTACTCGGTCTGCTACTCATTAGCATTCTACATGCATTTTGACAGCTTTCTGGACCTCGTGCATTCGGAGAAGTACAGCATTTCGAATTATTGGGACAATGGCCGCACTCTCAGGAGCAGCAGCACAAGCAAACTCAAAAGCAAGGTGCAGTTTAGAGTAGCTTCAGCATACCTTGGTTGCAGGGTGGGTTTCACCGGGCTTCATCGCAGGAAACAGCAATACTTCCTGCAGACGAAAACAAAAGGAGTTTAGTCCACAAAATGACAAGGCAATTAATTAATGCATCCACACTATACCTTCAATCTGCAATACAAACATAAATGTGCACCTGGACCACCTGGTGCTAAGAAAAGAAAAGAAAAAAGGGCGGAGAGGAGAGGCTTGGTACACCATGCAAAGCTGGGTATAAGCAATACAAAAAAAAGAGAGTGAGAACAAACATGGAGAGTGCAGTGCCGTGCACCCAATACTACATTGCAAAAAAAATTGTGAGGAGAGGATACGCTGCGGTAAACTGTGAAAGCCTTGCACAAAAAAAGAGGGAGAACCAAGCGAGCAAGGAACACTCAGAAGGGTGTGGTGGGGTTGCAAATGACACACACACACACACACACACACACACACACACACACACACACACACACAGAGAGAGAGAGAGCAATGCATAGTACAGTCACCACTTTAGCGAGCATGTGAGAAACATGTGACGTGAAGCAGTCTATTTCGTTCCCTTTTTGCGAGCATGTGAGAGACATTCTTTTTTTTTTTTTTTTTTTTTTTTTTTTTTT